TTGAATAAGTAAAAGTGCATCTTAAAATAACAATAAAAGTAGGGTAGTAAATACATAGGCCTGTAACACAGCTGTTGGGTACCACTGTCCAGTCCTGTATATAACTGTGTGTGCCGTCCTTCCACATGTCCAGCTGTGAGGCAGGCCTGTTTCTCCCAGCCGCACCACAGCCACTGAGCACTGTGCTGTGTGATGATGTTACAATGGCTGTGACATCGCCAGGCCAGGGGACTTTTTCAGCTGTGCTGTTTTGTGGGACCATGGTACCCCTAGTCTGTCACCGACCTGCCATGACCACATTTCTCACTCCAGAAAGAAAGGCGGTGTTGGTTGATGTGCGGCTCCTTGTTCAAAGCGCTTGTCTCTCCCTACTCACCTGTCACTGCCGCCTCGCCTCCCACATGCATCCACCTTGAGAAGCTCCATGGGTGTGACAGGTTTGAAGTATCTCGGGCCTCTTGGACAGGAACAGTTGCCTTCCTCTGTTGAGGCCCCGCCTCTCCCTTGCCAGTGTGGCAGACCTCGGTCCTTGTTGGTCCTGGTGAGGTGCTCGTCCATGCTGGGGCACACACCTGTCCTGCAGCACCTGTGCTTCTGGGAGGGATTTTAGTCTCATGTGCTATAGTTTCCTGCCTCAAACAGGGTGGCACTTACTGAACATTTGACAGATGAATGAGCGAATAAATTAATGCATGGCTTTTGAAAAGCAGCAGCAAAGTGTGTTCAGAGCTCTGCTTTAAGAACGAAACGTTGATGGCTGTGTGGAACAAAGAAGGGAGACCAGGTTAGGGGAGAGATGAGAAAAACCCCAGTTGGGAAACGGCTGCAAGAAGCGTGTAGACGGGGAATCGCTAGCGCAGAGAAGAACATGTGAGAGAAGGGCTGCACTTCTGGAGGAACAAAATGAATCAGGTTTTGGGGGAACAAAATGAATCAGGTTTTGGGGGAACGAAATGCATCAGGTTTTTGGAGATTGTCAAGGCACAGCAGTAGGTTTAGGTAGACAGAAATGTGGGTTCAGAAACACCTGGGCTGGAGGCACGGATTTCACAGTTAGCTGTAGCTAGTTGGATGCCCATGAGCAAGGTCCTTGGAAAACGCACGAAGGGAAGGAAAGGGATTATTCTGCGTACCTGCTACAGGCCAGTTGCTGGCACTTTCACACTCGCCCCTAAGATAGCGTGCCACACCTCGTTTTCTCCCACTCCCCTAATACCTCACCTTCCAGCAGTACCAGTTGACTTAGAACTGTCTAAAACTTCCTGCTTTCCCATAGCCCATGTGTCCAGAGAGCCCTTCCATGTCCCGTCTGCCTGGCCCACTGCTCTTCATCCTTCCTAACTGCACCCTTACAGAGTCCTATTGTAAGGAGATGCGCTATTTCTACTGCGTTGCTTCCCCGCTCCTTCAGTCTATCTTCACGCTTTTTCCAGCATGGTCTTCTCAAAGGAGGTGAACTCTGGCCAACAAAGATGGACCTGTTTGGGGTAGCTGTTTCTTTGCTCTCTACAACGCCGTCTTTGAGACACCATGTATTCTTAACACTCTGTAATTTGCTTGAAGACTTCAGGAACTTCGCCTGGAAATTTTAAAAGAGCTGCTGAAGCAACGTGACGGGAACCAAAATGAATTGAACGCGAAGCACTTGGATGCGCGGTGGTGTGAACTGCAGGAGGCAAAAGAGGCAAAAGTGGCCCAAATCCAGCGCACACATGTCGCAAGTAATGGTGTAGTATGAACCAGGAGAGAGTAGAAGGGGCTGTGCTTTGGGTGTTGGACCAAACCTGATTTAGCTGTGAGAAACTCTGTGTTGGGCCTGGCGTATCAAATAGGTAAGGGGTGAGAGATAAGTTATTTCTCTAAAGTGGAGGAGTAGAGAAAACTCCTTCCCTCAGAAAGTCAAATGACCATGTTCTAACAGGTAGTCAAGTTAGTGCCCTTATAGTGCGTGCGTGTGTGTGTGTGTGTGTGTGTGTGTGTGTGTGTGTGTGTGTGTGATGGGTTTCCTGTATTCACTGCTTAAGTCCCTGGACAGAGAAGTCTGTTGGTCAACTCTTTTGTCCACTGTTGCTCCTAAAGGTGGTCATTTGAGCATCTTTTTTCCTAGTCATCACTCTCTAAGAAACTCTAGTGCCACCATATATTGTATATGTCTATGTAACCTATATATTTGTACTTTATACATGAGAAAAGAAATAAACAGCTTATTTTTTATTCAGTGCAGGTTAAGAATGACAATTAAAGTTCAAGTTAAAACTTATACTGAAAATTTTAAATTATTAATATTTAATTTTACAACTTTACTTACTGGGAAACTTAATGTAATTTATTTACTTAGAAAAAGATATCACCTACATACACAAATTAGTGATTGATACACACAATAACAGTGTAATCAAGTTTTTAAAAATCATTCAAATCTAGCAAAAGTAAGACAATTACAAAATTTTATTTATTTATTTATTTATTTAGATACAGGGAATTGAACTCAGGACCTTGCACTTGCCAGGCAGGCACCTGTGCCACTGACCTATATCCCCAGCCCCAAAATTTTAATTATTACTTTTTGTTTTTGTTTTTCATTTTTCTTCTGGTACCAGGAATTGAACTCACGACCTTGTGCTTGCCAGGCAGGCGCTTTGCCGCTGAGCTAAATCCCCAGCCCCTTTAATTATTACTTAAAAATTATTTGTTGTGAACTTAACCTTTAACTTTTTCTTGATGTGAGAAAATAACTTTTAAGTAGCTGCTGTGTATTCATGTAGATGTTGTTCGCATCCTTTCTTTTCAGCACGGGGCATAACTAGTGATGGACTTAGCTAACTGGTGTATATAAATAGTAAGATATAAACTATTTTTACTTCTAAAATTCCAAGTCATGCACAGAAGCGCCAGGAGTGAAACACAAGCAACAGCCACAAAGCAGCTGTAGCAGGCGGTCCCTTTCCTGTGCTGACTTCTCAGCCTCGGGACAGGGCTTCCCATCCATTAGCAGTGCACTCTGTGGAGCTGTCGAAAGGGGAGTGGGTCTGTGATGACACTTGGAAGAAAGAACAAAAACCAAAGAAGCAGGTGGAGGTTGTCTGCACGACTCCTTAGATGAATGCTCAGTTGCACCCTTTCCCTGACTGCCAGACAAGCCCGACAGCTTGTTGGCTGGGCTGTCTTTCAGTTATTCAGGTGTGAGCCAAGAAGACACTGCAGTCTTCCTTTTAGTTATTGTGGTAGGGGAGGACAATCGCCTCGTACACCACTGACCACGTATTTCCACTTATTTTGAGTTTCTTTGTTTAATAAGCTTTTACCGAATACTGAATACTGCTTAGCCTGGAGCTTGTAAACGCTTGTGGTTATAAAAGACTTTTGCTGAGTATCACTCAGTTGCTACTCAGCAAAAGGACACTGGCTGATGGTGCTTCTGTCAGTCCTGCCTGTGCGATGACTCTCAGAGCCCCACAGACGGCACACCTCTGTCTTTAGGGCTACATTCTAGCTGCGTGGAGTCATCACAAAATCCATTCAGTGCACCAGCTCCCCAATAAGCATTGATTCACTGCTCTGCGTTTGTTATTCACAGCAATCTTTTGGTGATAACCACAGAGATATGTTTTATTTCAGCAATCAGAAAGCTTGTGAGAAAGAGGAAAAATATAGAAGGGAAGTTGGAGAGGAGAGATATCATCCAGGAATATTCTGATCATGCCTCGCAGGTCTATGGGCCTCTGTCTCGCCTTGGTCGTTTCCCGGACAACAACTCAGAGGACTTTGTAGTAAAAAATCACTATCTGAACACTTATGAAGGTAAACGATTTACATAGCTGGAAGTATAGTATGTGCATGTTATCTTAGACTTATGGATTAAATATATAAATGCCACTAATAAGAAAAGTTATGTAATAATGAGCTAGAAGAAATTTTTATGTCAGGTTTATGAAGCAAACAAAATACATACAATGAAATCAAGCCTTTACCAAGAAATGTCAGAAAATTAGAGGCAAAGGGATGGCTATGGATTAAATATATATGGATTAAATATTAGCTTTTAGATTAAAAGCTAGACAACAAAGATATTTGTAAGAAACAGCATGCACACATTTAATACAATTAACGTGAGTTCATCTAAATCAGTAAAAACTCTTAAGACCCAAATAAGTGAACAGATGCACCACAGAATAATTTTAACAAGAAGCAAGTTCAACTAACCACTAAACACTTGAAAATGCTTAATGCCACTAATAATATAAGTTATGCAATAATGAATAGGAAACAATTTTATGTCAGGCTTATGAAGCAAACAAGATACAGATAATGAAATTGAGCCTTTACCAAGAAATGTCAGAAAACTAGATGCAAAGGGATGGCTAAGAGGAGATAAATTTGTGGAGAGGATGGTACCACTTATGAAGTTCACAAGGCTTGTTTAAAAGATTTAAATTTTGGTTGACAAATTAAAGCATCTCATGAGCAAGGTCATGACTTGACTGATGATTATATTGAACTTGTGGAGGGCTGGGGATTTAGCTCAGTGGCACAGCGCCTGCCTGGCAAGCGCAAGGTCATGAGCTCGATTATGGGTACCAGAAGAAAAAACAAAAAACAACAACAACAGCAACAAAAATATATTGAACTTGTGTTTCTGCCTGGCTATTTCCAAGCAGAAGGTGATAAATTGGAGAATATCTGCTTTAAAAGGTGGCCCCATTTATCATGGGATTATTAATTTTCTATTGATTATTATGGAACGTATTGCTTTATTAAAGGGCAATGCTTATTTTACAGTATATTTCTAATTTTATGGTCTAAATAACTAAAAGTATGAGTTAACTATAGAAAAAATATGCTTTACATTTCAGAGATGGTTCATTCTATTATGTAAGGTATACCTTATCAACAATCCTAACGAAACCACTTGGGAAACCGCTATTAAAGTTAACAGTATACTGGGGCTGGGGATTTAGCTCAGCGGCAAAGCGCCTGCCTGGCAAATGCAAGGTCGTGAGTTCGGTTCCTGGTACCGGAGAAAAACCAAAAAAAAAAAGAAAAAAAAAGTTAACAGTATACTTCTAAAATAGCAAATGTAAGCAATAGATATTAAAAATATGCATTTCCTTCCCATAGGTTTAGTTGAACTTGAATCGTGTCTCCCAAAGTTTGTGACACAACTGGTAATCAAACCTCCAAAACCAAAAGTCATTACCACCAAAGCAGGCTTCCTGAAGAGGACAGTAAGGATGGACTATGAGTTGGCAGAGGTCCATAAGGTACAGTCATCGTCTGGAAGACGAGATGCTGTCAGTGCTACGTGTGTTACACTGAGATAAGTGTTACACTCCAAACTCGCACTTCGTCTTGGGCAGTAGTGACCAGTGGGTTTATCCTGCAGCCCTGTGTTTTCTCCTCTCTCGACTTTCTCTTCTGGAGAGTGCCCATGTGTTGAACCACTGTGTTTCCTCACCCTCATTTCAAAGCATAGGAAAACTTCGGCGTATTCTCCCCATTTACGGAAGTCGCGTTACTTTCTGAAAGTGTTTCCAACTTTAGCTCTGTATCATAAAATTTGACAGTACACAGAGCTATGGCAATTTCTAGTACTATGTTGGGATTTACTGCTGGTGTTAATAGCTGTAATAGGCTCCAAATGTTCCCTTTTACATAGGTCAACAGAGCATCATGAAGAAAAGAAGTCATGTTCAGTTTCTTTCACATCTGGTTTAAAACTCGACTAAACAAAAAAGTTTGATGGGCACCATAAGCATGTGTTAGAATCAGAGGCTGGGCCTGTTAAAACAGTGTTGCTGGACCCCACCCCCAACTGGTCTGAGTGAGGATGTTGGAGAATTGGGGTGTGTGTGTGTGTGTGTGTGTGTGTTTCCAAGTGATGCTGAGGTTAAGCCCAGGAACCACACTTTGAGACCCACGGGTACAAGACATCACTGTTCACACGCATGTTTGTTTTTTTACACTGATGTCAGTAATATAACAAGATTCCATGAAGAACTACACTTAACATAAGGAAGACAACTTTGACAACAATTTGCATATATCTCTGTGGTTCCTTTTCTCCTCCTCTCCCTGTCTCTGAAACCTGTGCTCACCATTCTCTCACTCTCTGTAAGAGGTTTTTTGTAGATACCGTTTATTAGGTTATGGAAGTTCCCTTTTACTTCTAATTTATTAAAGTTTTTCATGATGCATCTCTATTGTATTTTATCAAATGTTTGCCTGCATCAAATGAGTTAATTATATTTTTTCTTAAAATTATTATGGTAACATTTATATTTTAGAAATATTAATTCATCCTTGTATACCTGGAATGAACTTGCCTTGGTTAAGTTATATTAGCTTATTTTTAATAAATTGTTGGGTTTGATGCACTAATACATTGATCAGGATTTTTGTATCTTTATTCATGAGTGAAAGGGCTTTCTCATTTTGACTATGTATGGAGTAGGTTTCAGCGTGGGGCAGATCTCCTGAAATGAGCTAGGGAGTATTTCTTTTTCCCCTCTCTTTTGAGAAGAGTTTTAAAAAGATTAGGATGGGGTGCACAGGGAGCTGCAGGTGGGGAGCACCAGCCT